AGTAGTATAGCCATTTTGAAAAGTAGTTTGATAATTTGTATCAAGAAGCTTAAGTATTACTTTGATCCAATAATTTTTTGATTCCCAAGAAAATAATTCTGGATATTGAAAATATGTATAAATATGTTTAAAGTAGTCATTTATGATAACAAATATTCCTTAAACTGAGAGTTAAGTAAATTTTGGTCATTAATTTGATGCAATATTGGGTGCTGTCAAAAATTGACATTTTTCTAAGAAGTTCCTCAGGGTAGGTGAATGCATGTAACGTTAAGTTAATAAAGAAGACATTGCAAATATATGTAACTAAAAATAAAAAGAAAAGAAAAGCAACTCATGGGTAGAATTTTAAAAGGACTGATTTTAAAAGAATCTAGTAGACATTTACTTTTAAGCTCAATCAAGGTTTTAAGTATTTTAGAAATATCTGAAGGTTGCTTGTAATTTTTTCTGAGACATATATTTGTATGGCACTCTTTATAAAGTTGGTGTGTAGGAGGGAGCCATGTTTGTTGGTGACTGTAGCAAGCTGCCCAGACCCTGTATATCAGTGTTTCCTTTCTCTGCTCTTTCTCACATAAATATCCAGGAGGAGGGTATATACTATTTTTCTGTTTCTTGAGAATTTGGAGATTCATAAATTTCTGAGACATAGCTTTGCAAATTCCAGTGCTTCACTGGCTAGTGGTTGCCACTGTGTTATGTTATGTGGTTATATAATTTCCCCTCTTTTTACTATTTCTCTGACTTCTGAACTATCTTTAATGAACATGGTATTATCTTAAAAGCCTTTATCCTGTTGGCAGTTAATAATCTTTGCAGTAAACTCTTCTTCCTGAGGTAATATATTCTGCTTTTTCTGTAATGTCCTATCTGCTGTTAATCCCATCCAGACATTATACATTTTAACTCTAGAAGCTTGATTTGTCTTACTTTATTATCCATGTCTGTTTGACATGGTCAGTCTTTTTTGGCGGGAGAACATATGAAATATAATTATAGTAACTGTTGTAAAGTCCTTGTCTAAAAATGCTATACTCTGTGCCATTGGTTCATACTTATTATTTAGTGGGAAAATATGAAAATGCAAAAACACATTTTTTAACATGTATAAGCTATGATCCCACTAAATTTAAGAATTACAGTATTAGAATAACATTGTATCTGCTGTCTCTTCTAATTTTTCTAAATATTGTTAATGTTTGTACCCTAATTAATATATCTTTTAGTCTTACATTTCTCAGTATGAATTACCTTTTGCTGTGTGTTTTCTAAAACTCGTTCTTTTTCCTTAACATTATGTTAAGATTCATTGTTATTGATATGTATACGATATGTACACATCTGTCATTTATTTTTAATCCTCTGTAGTAGTACTTGAATATATTACAAAATTTTTTTTCTTTTGTTCATGGTTATATGGGTTTTCAGCTTTGTTTTTAACATTGCTACTATGAACATTCTTGTATATGTCTTCTGGTACACATGTATAAAAACATCTCTGGATTATGTGCCTAGGAATGGAATATTTTGGTCCTGAGGGGTATACATGTGAAACCTTATTAGATAGTCCCATATTTTTTCCAAACTAGTTTTTACTAATTTACAATGTTGCTCTTTTTATATATATACACACATATATGCAGACATGTGTGTATATATATACACATCACATATATACATTTGTCCATACATACGTATATCCGTATGTATGTATGTTACTGTTGCAGTTAATGCTGTAATAAATGCCTTCCTCCTCAAATATATTCAGGTTTTTCTTTTTTTTAAAGATTATTATTTATTCCCAGAAGCAGAATCATTGATTTAGAGGATGTGATTGTATTTTGTAGTAGACTGACCACCTTATTTTAATTTTGGTATTATTTGTCTTGACTTCTATTTACTTTTTAAAATTTAGTTTTATTATGAAAGTTATACATGAACAGTATATTCAAATAGTTCTACAAGGTTTCTTATTTAAAAATGGCAATGATTTACCCTCTTCTTGGCCTCATTTACTGCTTCTCAGAGACAAACTTTTCATTCTTTTTCAGCTGATCGTTATAGTATTTGCCTCCATATCTGTAAAAAACCTGCTTGTATTTCCATTTTTTAATTTTTAACTTCTTTGACTCCCCATTATGGAGCATGAAGATTTACCCTCCTCATTACTTCCAACTTCTAGCACCAACCCAGTTTTATACGTGCATTCCTCACTCATAGTTTCTTCTAAATAAATACTTTAGTGCTAACATTATTATGAAACATAAATGCATAGCTGAATTATTTAGCAATCATTACACTTCTTTTTATTTTCTTTTAAACAAAGGAGGAGGCTAGTAAAAGAAGGGACAGTGGGCTAGGCCTGGTGGCTCATGCCTATAATCCCAGCACTTTGGGAGGCCAAGGCAGGTGGATCACGAGGTCAGGAGATCAAGATCATCCTGACCAACATGGTGAACCCCCATCTCTATTAAAATACAAAATATTTAGCCGGGTGTGGTGGTGTGCACCTGTAGTCTCAGCTGCTAAGGAGGCTGAGGCAGGGGAATTGCCTGAACCCAGGAGGCGGTGGTTGCAGTGAGCTGATATTGTGCTCCTGCACTCCAGCCTGATGACAGAGCAAGACTCTGTCTCAAAAAAAAAAAAAAAAGACAGGATAGTGAGGATTTTGGAATCAATAAAGAAAATTTTCTATTGCAAAATAGGAAAACATGTTAGCATTAAGTCAGAGGTTCCTGAATGGGAGGGCAGCTATAATAAACTAGAATAAAATAATAACCTATAATATACCAGAACGTTTATTCTGGTAGACATATGTATTATTGACTAGGATATTGAAAGCCTAGTAAAATGAGTGGTATGCTTGAATTCCTTTTTATCTAATTTAGTAGATTAATTTTTTTCTCATGTTACATAAACCAAGAGATAACTAATATTTCTTTGCCACTAGTCTCTAGTCTCAAGGTTTTCTCTTAAGGACATGATAAATATATTACATTCAAATAGAGCAGTTTCATCTCCTGCTACATCGTTGTGGTATATGAAGGGATTCAACAGATATTTGTATTAAGTGACTAGGAAGTTAATTCTGGCCGTGCACTCCACATTTATTAAGGTTTAATTGTTACGATGTGAGTAATGCTGCCATATTTCAAAGCTTGGCATTATATATATTTTTAAACATTTACATATTTTTAAAAGTTGAACTAGTTATTTAATACTTTCATTGTTCTAACCTGGGCAAATTTTATGAATACTTTTATCTGATAGGATATTTATGTCTTTACCCATTCATTGATCAAATTGGAAGAATATTAGAGGAATACTGTCACTTCAAAAATAAGCTCTCTTCTTTCTGAGGCTCTTCAGATTGGCCCGGAATCATCTACTCAAAAGATTGTGGTCAGAAAGACCAGGATTTAAATTCTGCTTTGCCGGTTATTAGTCGAGGGAATTTGTTCAGATTACTGAAATTCTTTGGGTTTTAGCATCTCCATCTAGGTATGATGATGTTTCTAGAAAGGTTGTTTAGAAAATTACAAATAACAGATGCATTAAAATAATAAACACCTTGTGTGTAGCTTAATGTAGTCTACCTGTTACATCTTCAAAAATGTTAGTTATTTTTATTAGAATCATCATCATCATTTTGTTTTTAGCTCTAGTCTCTAGATGTGCACTGGTAATGATTGTATGCATGCATCAGATAAATGAGCAGGGAAATTTTAGTATCATAATCCCTCCGTTCTTCTGTGGTTAGGGGGGCTGATGCTGGGGGTTGTTACTGCATTCTCTCTCTCTCTCTCTCTCTCTCACACACACACAGTGTGTGTGTGTGTGTGTGTGTGTGTGTGTTTCCCCCTGTTGTTGCTGCATGTCTCTTACTGAAAAGCAGGTTTATGGACTAATTAGTAAGTAAAATAATACAAGCCTTTCTCCCTCCTGGCTGCTGGAGCCCTTTCATCCAAATCTAGCATGTTGTTTGTTTACTTCTTAAAGTGAGTGACTGTAAATATGGCTTGGATAACTGGGGAGGTGGAAGCTGGTGGTGGTTATATATGTGATGAAGGCCATTTATATTGCTTTTAAAAAATACTGGGGCCCAGCTACTCGAGAGGTCAAGATGGGAGGATCACTTGAGGCCAGGAGTTTGAGACCAGCCTGAACAACATAGTGAGACACTATCTCTTGAATAAAAATAGTTGGGCATGATAGCAGGTACTATAGTACCAGCTGCTCAGAGGCTGAGGTGGGAGGACTGCTTGAGCCCAGGAATTCAAGACTGCAGTGAAAGATAATCACATGTGTGACTAGCCACTGCACTGGGTAGTGTATTGAGACTCCCATGTCTCAGAAAAACAACAAAAAACTGTACTTGGCGTCTTTAGAATTTCCTAAAATATGAGGATATTTATTTACTTTAAAATACTAAATTTGACACTTTCTAATGTGATCTCTTCACATTTCCTTAAACTTGTGATAATGATAATCATCATTTCTAGTCTTTTTTTTTTTTTTGAGACGGAGTTTCGCTCTTGTTACCCAGGCTGGAGTGCAATGGCGCAATCTCGGCTCACCGCAACCTCCGCCTCCTGGGTTCAGGCAATTCTCCTGCCTCAGCCTCCTGAGTAGCTGGGATTACAGGCACGCGCCACCATGCTCAGCTAATATTTTGTATCTTAGGGGGTTTCACCATTTTGACCAGGATGGTCTCGATCTCTTGACCTCGTGATCCACCCGCCTCAGCCTCCCAAAGGGCTGGGATTACAGGCGTGAGCCACTGCGCCCAGCCCTCTAGTCTTGCCTTATCAAATCTGCCTTATTTGGAGCATTTAACTCCAGAAATTACTTATTAAGGGGAAAATATTTGGGAAACTGTATTTTTTTTAAATATACATTTTGTAAGGCAACCCTGTTCAATAGCCATTTTTGTTTTGATACCTTGATATTTATTCAGTATTGAAATATTTGAATGTGGGTGTTTTTGTTTTAAACAGATTATCTTTCTCAAGGAATAGACCTTACTGGAATCGAAGTGATAGAAAATGATCTACTTTTTATTGCAAGAGCCCGACTTGAAGTGGAAAATCAAGCTAAGCGCCTACTAGAACAGGGTTTGGAGACTCAGGTAATAAAAACAAGACTTTTAAAATGTGAAAATGTGTAATAACACAGGTGAACATTTGACTTTGAGTTCAAAAAAGTAATATATGTCTTTATTTTATTACAGAGAAAGTATGTCTACAATTTAAATCAGAGAGTATAGTTAAGGGAAATTTTAATATACATATTTAATAAACATTTAATATATTTAATTTTAATAAACAAATATGTTAGTGTTTAACATATATTAACATATTTAATACATGTTTAATTTACTATATTAAATTTTAATAAACATTTACTGTATGTTTAATATATTAAACCTAATGTTTCTGATGTAAAATGTATATAACATGCAATATATTTTGTATGATGTACATAGATAGATAGATAGCTAGTTGGCCATGCCTGCTTTGTCTAAAGCGCTGTTCCTTATTTAAGCCTTTCAGCAACCCAGTATGATTGGTTTGTTGTTAATTTTATTTTACAGTTGAAGAAACAGAGAAATAAGTTGTTGAAAATCACATAGCTAGTAAATTATATAGTTTGGATTCAAACTTAATCACTCTAGACCCAGAACTCTGCACTCTTAATTACTGTCCCATAATTTAAAAATTTTTTTGACTTGACATCTACTAGCCCAAACTTCTCTTCCATTCTATTTTAGTGTCTTTCCCCCATTATCACCTTGCATATTGTCATTTAGCATTTGTCCTAAGACTCCAGTGTCTCTTCCTTTGATGGTAGATTCCTATTTTTTCTGCCCTCCCACTCCCTTGTTCCTGTTATAACTCATGCTTCTTTTATTAATCTAAAATATCAATCTCTTGGCTGGGCACGGTGACTCACGCCTATAATCCCAGCACTTTGGGAGGCTGAGATCGTAGATCACCTGAGGTTGGGAGTTTGAGAACAGCCTGACCAACATGGAGAAATCCCGTCTCTACTAAAAATACAAAATTAGCCAGATACAGTGATGCGTGCCTATAATTCCAGCTACTGAGGAGGCTGAGGCAGAAAAATCACTTGAACCTGGGATGTGGAGGTTGCAGTGAGCTGAGATCACACCACTGCATTCTAGCCTGGGCAACGAGCAAAACTTATCTAAAAAAAAAAAAAAAAAAAAAAAAGAAAGGAAAGAAAAACCATCAGTCTCATAACTCATCTAGAGCATAAATGCTTTACTACTGGATGGTTTTCTACTCTGTCAGCCTCATGTCTGTGGCTCTACTTAGAACCTCTTCTCTGGCTCTACTTATTTTTTTTTATATTAAATTGATCAAGGATGTGTCTCTTCAACTATTCTCCTAATTAGTGATTCTCAAACTTTACCATGCATCAGAATTGATGGGAGGACTTGTTAAAACACAGACAGCCGAGCCCAACTTTGTCCTCCTTTACTTCTCCCAAAAAGCCTTTCCTGATCTACCAATATTAACATTTTGGTTCACTTCATGGAATTTACTGTATTTCTTATGTATAAATTGATATTTGTGTTTGTAACATCTCTTTCTGAGTTTATTGTGTGTGTCTGTCTTCCTCAGACCTGGGTGTCTCACAAAGTCAGGTTTTGGGTTTTGCAGAGTTGAGAGAATTAAACTCTTAATAATCATGTCACAGATATAAGGCCTCTTGGGAAGCAGACTGTAGTATTGGAAAGAGCCTGTGTTTTGGAGGTAGTCCCTTTTCTTGAGAGCAGCAAGAGAGAGGTGTCATCTAGCTGTGTCAGTAGGCAATTTGGGAATTAAGAACAGAAGTCTCTGTTCTTTGTCAGGCTCTGTGTTAGTCATTTTACATTTGTTATCTCAATTACAATAACAAATCTATGAAGAAGATGTAATTATCCACTTTCTATATGGTTAAGGAAACAAAGAGATGGAAAGGTTAGGAAATTAACTGAAGATTACATAGTTGGCAAGTAATAGAATCATGATCTGGAGCTCCTACTTTCTCCCTTCTTTAGTAAGACCAAGCAATTTATTCTAATTTTGTTAAACAGTTATATTGAAAATTATTTGATGATTTGTGAAGCAATTTGTATGGAAAAGGGAATTTTTATAGCATAAAAGGTTTTTTTAGGAAGTCTCCATTTGATGACCAAACTGGTCCTTCAGTATTCCTAAAAATTTTTGTTTTCTGGCCAACTTTTTTATTTCATCTTCTGAAATTACTCTTTTACACTTTCTTTACTTTCCATCAACCATCTCCTTTTGCTATACCCCATTGTACTCTGAGCAGATATCCTTAATTTCTGCTTTACAGAGTCCTTTCATATCACCTCTGCTCTGGATCCTGTTTTCTATTTTCTTAGAAACTTATCTTGTTGACATTTCCATTCCTCATTTCCCTTTTACGGTCCCCTTCTCATCAGCCTTTAAAGGTGCACATTTTTTGCTACTCTCCTCATATGATCTCTGCTTTCCAGCCTCACAACCTTTCTAGTCGTCATTCACATCCCATCTTCCTTTCTTCTTTAGGGCCTTGGTACTTTTTATGCCTGGAATACACTTCACGCTCCCTGTTAGAACAGGTGCTGCAGCTTATATGTATTTTATCCTCAAATTGTTTTCTCAAATTTATTACAGATTATTAAAATAGTTAAATGTATGATTAATATTTATTATAAATAGACTAAAAGATAGAATTGCAGTATTTTAACTTTGAAGCACTCATGAATGATTACACACTTAAGTAGTTTACTAGCTCGTAGCCTGAAGAGATGTTCAGTAAACAAGGAATTTTTGAAAAATTACATCATATTATCACTTACATTTAATAATTAATTTCTAACATTAATTTGATTCCTCAGAAGTGTTGATGATCCTCTTTTATTATGTAGTTGATGCCCATCGTTTTCAATATCAGTTAATTGTAAAACTTAAAATAGTACAAGTGTTTAGTGCTAAGTTTACCAGTTGTGAAATTAGCAGTATTTAACCATCTTTTCATCTTCTGTGATTTTTAGATTTTTGGTTATTGATTGATAATTCAATGAGATGATAATGAGATCTTTTCTAAAAAACTAAATTGTTACTGTCAAATCATATTAAAGAAAGAAATGGATGTTGTTTCTACTACTTCATTGAATTCTACCCTTACTAAAATTATAAAAATAATAATAACAATAACAATAGAGTCACCCAACTGTAATTTGCAGATAAGTTGTCACTTCATTTGTATGGCTGCTATGGTCTGAATGCATCCTCTTCTAATTCTTATGTTGAAATCCTAACCCCCAAGATAATGTTATTTGGAGGTGGGCAGTTGGGAGGTAAACAGGTCATGAGGGTGGGATCCTCATGAATGGGATTAGCACCCTTGTAAAAGACTTTTTGCACTTTCTGTTTACCTTCCCCTCTCCTTCTACTTCTCATTTTACTGAAAGCCTGAGAGAGCTGCTTATCCCTTTTGCCATGTGAGATCACATTAAAAAGGTGTCCTTGTCAGGGAGGGGAACATCACACACTGGGGCCTGTTGGGGAGTGGGGGACTAGGGGAGGGATAGCATTAGGAGAAATACCTAATGTAGATTACAGGTTGATGGGTGCAGCAAACCACCATGGCACGTGTATACCTGTGTAACAATCCTATACATTCTGTACATGTATCCCAGAACTTAAAGTTTTAAAAAAAAGTGTCCCTGTGTGAACTAGGAGATGGGCCCATATCAGATACCTAAAATGCTGGCACCTTGAACTTGGACTTTCCAATCTCCAAAACTTCAAAAAATAAATGTCTCTTGTTTTTAATCCCAGTCTATGGTATTTTGTTATAGCAGCCAGAACAGACTAAAATAATAGCTATTCTTCTGTTATCTGAAACAACTATTTATTAAAAGAAAGTTAGTGCAATTTCTTTTTTTGGCATTCTTTTCCAAACCAAAATTGTTTTAGTAAATGCAGATAACCACTTTCATCATTACTGTTTTTTTCCTAGTTAATTGCTTAAGTGTTTTGTATTTATTAAATAGCTTTGTAGTATTGTAAAATACTATCATATTATAAAATGTCTATTTTCAGATTTGTAAACTCAATGACTGTTTGTATATGGAGGAGCTATTGTTTCTCTCTACATGAAAAATATAAGTAAACTTCTGACCTTACAAAAGCCTTATTATTTCTGTATGAAAAAGATTTATGGTCATATCATTATAGCATTCTTTGGAAAAATGTGGAAGGACTGGTGATTTAGAGCACATCTTCTGGGGATGCATAGAATATGATCATGTTACAAAAACATTTTTCAACTCTATAGGCAATCTGTCATACATGGGACTAGATATGCCATCCATCTGCAATTCTTCCTGATTTTCATTTCTCTCTTTTCTACTCACCCACAGAATCTTTCACTGACAGAATTCACACAAAGAAACGGAGAGGACCTTATTTATTTATTTTTTTTTCAGTATTGCAACAGACTCCATTACCTCTGGCTTTAACTAGCTTTCAAAAATAGGTGATAGAAATTGTGATCTGGATCATTTCCTGCATCACCATAGATACCAGTCCCCCACAGTAAAATGATGACATTCTAATTAGGAAGATGACTTTACCTTGTGAATTAGAAGCTTTCCCAGTAAACAAGTATGAGACTTTCTGGAGGTTCAAGGTGGAGGAAGGTCACTTGGCTTTAGAGGTCATCAGGAAAGAGAATTTCTGTGTTCACTTCTTTCAGAGCTTAGTAGCTGGCTGTAATCCTGACCCTGTGGTAGTTGTTGGTAGTGATAATAACTAAATATTCATTAACTTGCTTTTTCCCTAAGGCAGATGACCTTCTTGGTCAAGCCTAGGGTCCTGGTGCTTATCAACTGTCAGCCAAAAGTCCCATGACCCAATCTTAGAGAAGCTAGGTCTAGAGAACCTAGACTTAGACCTAGATTCTCTAAGAAAATAATATAGAAATGAAGTTCAATAGATAAATATCTATATAGTATACAGTAAGAGATTATGATATTATGAGCTTTTTTACTTTTCACAGTTGAAAATTATGGATTATTTCTGGTATAGCAAAGATACCAGTTCATAT